GCTACATCAGCAGGCTACTGGCCGCCATTCAGTCCCTCTGTAAACTACACGCGCGCACACACGCACGCGCGCGGCTCTCTGCTGTGACAGTTTTGCTATTCACTCCTTCTTACAGTGTTCCTCTGTGGTGATGTGTGAAGTGAAGCATGAAGAGGGTCTCAAAATGAGAGGAACAAAATCGGCCGCGTTGGTTAGTCGATTAATCGTTGACCTATCAACTATCATTTGGTTTTACGTTGTGTGTGCTTGTGTGTGTGTGAGAGATTTCAGCCTCCACTAACGTATATATAACGTCATATTTTTGCTGCCTTAACCCCCACCACCCCACACCGACGAAACCTATGACTCTTTGGTTTGTGGACAGAAACAGGTCATTTAATGTCGCTGTCATTCCAAATGTTATTGACCAAATGATTACTTAATACATACAAATAATGTCTCATTCGTGTAATATTCTAAATGATCAGTACAAGTTCCGAAAGAACATCATCGAAAAGGGACACCTTTTTGTGGATTTATTAAATAAAGACTTCATGTTTGTTCTCTGTGGTTTTCGGATTCAGCACTTCTACTTCACGGACTCGACAGAAATATATTTGACTTCTTATTCAGAACCAACAATGGGAAAAATCTGTTAATGTGTCACTTATTAATCACGCTAATAACTCTTTAATTAACCAGACTTTTTTCCTCAGGGGGGAACACTACTGGTTAAAATGAATAATTCAATAATGTATAAATTAATTGACCGTTTATTCCGACGAAGTTAGTAACGAATTAGGACAGAAAAGTCATGGCCCGAAGTCGAGAAATTATCTAAAATTATTAAGTACTGTACTGTGAAAGCTGTTGTAATGAGGGCGTCAAGAATATTTTTCTGCATTTAATGAGAGTCATTTTAAATCATATTTATCTTGTTAATTAATTATAGTTATAACCACCAGCTGTGGTTGGTTATTTTAACTATAACTAACTCTATAAAAGACAAAGCAGTATTATTTATCTGTGTATCCGGTCTCTAGGCCGCAATTATTTGCTGTGGCGCCTGCAGTAAAGGCCCATACACTGTCCACGAGCTGCGGTGCAGTGTGTATCAGTGTGTCAGTGAGGGCAGTGGTTCGCTTTATCCTGGGTGACGTCATGTCCCCTCCTCCTTTTAATCCACAATGTGTTGGAAAAGGAAAGTGGCTCTCGTAGGATTACAGGGCTACTGAGCTCAATGGCTGTGTGTGTGTGTGTGTGTGTGACCTAATTTTAGAAAATCATTTAATCCCAACAACAAACGGGATTTGTAAAATGACACCCTTCTGGACCAACGGTGCTTTCACTTGTATTTGAAATGAGTTTCATTTTAATAATAATTTTACTTCCTCTGTTTAAAAAAAGGGTTAAAATGACCCTTCATACAGCGGACAACAAGTTTCACGCCCAACAGACCGCCACTCCACACGCACACTCAGGCTCGCGCACACGCCAGGTTATCATAGATAACATCTGGGAGCTTCTCTCCCTGTTTAAAACAGGGGCAAAACAAAAAGCTGAGGCCGCAGCGCTTACCACCTGTTGCAGTCCAAATATCCGACACAGTCTGCACGCGAGCAGGGGAGAGGAGGGCATGGTTGGATGGATGGATGGATGGATGGTTGGATGGATGGATGGATGACTCAGAAACACCTGGTCGTCCGCACACATGGAAAACTGTGCGTTCCAACCAGAAACTACGCCATGCACGCTTTAACGCACGAAACCGCTCCTCGCCGCAGTCACCGATAACAGAAATCAATACCAGTGCTGTTTTTTGTTTGTTTTTCAGTTCACGTGCAAACATTAACATCGGTGCACATTAACGCGCCTCTGAGATGAAATCAAACGTCTGAACTTTTTATTTGAGGGAGATTCAATTACAGCAAATATATTTCAGAGTTTACTTTGTTTGTTTACAGGTGTTTTTGAGATGGAGGGTGGGCTGTGAGTGGGAGGGGGTGGTGAGAAAACGTTAGTTTTTAAAGCATCTAGGACCCTTCACACACCAACATCTGCAATAATCATCTACAACAACATTCCAGGGCTGTAACAGGTCGATATTCAAATCCACAGTGTCATCCAACAACAACAACAACAACAACAACAACAACAACAACTGTTTCTCCATCACATCAAAGCTGCTGTATGGAAGACTGATGTGGCGGGGCCTCGGGGCCTCCTCCACCCAGGGCCCCGCTGTTCGTGGAAGAATGAGAGGAGACCTAATGCGTCTGCACCGGAGCGACCTTTAAAAACCAATTGTTTATCACCGGTGTTCTCGGCGTTTACAACCAATGGTGATCTGATCAATAATTAATGAAGCAAGCAATGATCCCTGGGACCTCTTTGAAGGGGGGGGTACAGAGAGAGGGGAGGGAGGGAAGACGGGGAGAAAAAGAGAGAGAGAGAGAAAGAGAGAGAGAGAGATTGAGACACGCTAATATCAAGGGGCCTCTTCAAATATTCATCCACCGGTTAATGTGAGCTCCGATCCCTCGGGACTCAGCCTGGAAAACACAACGGCCCTAATCTATCTACACACACACACACACACACACGCTTATACACATTCATACATAGACTGCTCCCAGATTTAAAAACCGTTAGTTACATCCAGAATAAGCTGTCAACTCAGCATTTGTTCGATAATAATAATAATAATAACAATAATAATAATAATAATTGTCATTATTATTATTGTTATTATATCAGGCGGCAGTAGTTCTGAACCAGTGAAGTCTGAAACACATTTGCTTCTCTGTCTGTGAGAGGTCTAAGAAATAAAATTTTACCTTACAAAAACAGTGTTAACGAGAAAAAAGGGAGGAAATTATTTATAAATCATTATTTTAATGTTAATATTGCTAAAAGTCCAAAAGATTTTTTTACTATTATTAAAATATAACATGATTTTTTAAACTGCTCCTTTTACCAAGACGTAACTAAAAGACTTTTGAGGTTTTCAAAAAATAAAAATAACGGAAGAAAATAAAATATTACAGAGGCAGAACACAGTGTAGAGTAATGTATTCAAGTCTGCAGCAAATTGACACAGATCCAGATTTTCTGCTGGCACAGTCAGGAATCATTGGATTATGGCTAATAATAAAAACACATAACAGCCTCATTTACCTCAGGAAAGATAAATATTTTTCTTTTAATTTTTTTAAATGATTTATTTACATAGTCTCGTTAGGATGATAACTGTAAATGATCAGGAAGATTCTGCCGCTCTCTGACGTTTGGTCATTTTTCACCGTAGCAGAAAGAAAATGTAACATTTAATTCTAATTTAATTAGTTTTACTAAAAGAAACACGGGCCCAAACTGCACATCCCTGTGTTATCATTTTTCATTGTACATTTTTTTATTATTTATTAATGAAAATGTATTTTTGCCTAGAGTTTTTTTAAACAGCAGCACATCTTTGTTTCAGAGATTTGTGCGCAGTTATTAAAGTCGAGCTGACGGTGGAGCTGCAGCGGATTTAAAAAAAAAAATCAGTAAAAAGAAAATGTCCACCTTCAGAATGTTATTTCTAATGTTAGGATTAATTATTTCTAGGAATCTCATTTTACAAAAAAGGACAAATCAACACGTGACCACTGCCTGCACACAAATCAAATCAAAACCAGTTACCAGTATCCAAATTTCCAAAATTTATTCATTTCAAACTGCATATTGAAAAAAAAAAATATACTCAGCTGAAAGTGTAACTGTTATAAGGATGGTATTAGTTCCGATATATATACATGGAGTTGTTGGCTTCTGCGTACAGGCCACAAAATTTTAAAATACAACTACGGGAATGAATTTCGCAAAAATAAAAACTTCAAAATATCACAGTAAATATACAGAAATTGTACAAATCAATTAGAAAATAAAGAGCACAAGCGTCGTAGCCTCTAACGGGTGAAAAGAGGGAGAAGAAAATATAAATTAACGACCTAGATTTTAAACTGGATGAGAGGGGGAACAAAATCTCATCTTTTTTTTAAGAAATGAAAATGTTTAGTAGCCTTGACTTTACCTGCTTCGTCCCTTTTTTCCAGTGTTTTCAGTAATAATAAAGGAGCAAATCTGATGCCATGGAAATTCCAACTCTGACATTTTTCACTTAAAATATTTTTCTGCAGAACTGGAGGTTTGTGGGTTTTTTTCTTTTTGCTAAGGAAAAAAAAACCTAAATTCAGAAAATAAACAAACAAAAAAATGCAACCTCTTGCAGTTTAACAAACAATTTCATCTGATTGTAATGTTTCTTTGATAAATACTGTACAAAAGGTGATTGCAATAATAAAACATTTGATTGCGACTCCCACTTTCTAAGTCTCCCAAACTTCATCCAGCAGTGAGGAGGCGTCACCTCTTGCCGTCTCCTCCGCCGGAGCTTCCTCGGAAATAAACGAAAGAAAGAGTCGAGTTTGTCCTTTTTTTCCCCCCTTGAAGACTTCTATACAACTTTTCCCACCCCGGAAAATTTTTCTGTACAAAAATAGTCCAACGTTGACCAGAGTCCGCAGTTTCTTCCTATAAAAGTTCATTTTTCTCTCTGTTGTTTCTCCTCTCACATGTGTGTTAAGGGCAGCGTGCCGTTGAGCGGCGGGCCCGGCAGGGTGCTCGGGTGGTGCCCGGACATGTGTAGCCGGGTCTGGGCGCTCTGGTCGCTCACCTCCGCCCCGGGCAGGTACATGCTGATCATGTCTCTCAGGTCTCCGCTTTGGCAGCCCGGAGCGGCCCGATGGGACGAGGAGGTGACGACGGGCGGGCTGGAGCTGCTGGACTCGGACTTCACCACCGAGGAGGGCCCCATGGAGCCCAGGGCGGTCATCCCCGGCGTGGTCTGCTGGGAGTAGGACATGGAGTAGGTCGGGGAGCCGTTCATGTAGCTCTGGGAGCTGGTCATGGAGTTGTACTGCAGGGCGCTCATGTCGTAGCGGTGCATGGACTGCATCTGGCTCGGGTTGTGCGCGTTGAGCCCCGGGTGCTGGTAGCTGAGCTGCTCCTGCATCATGCCGTAGCCGCCGTTGGTCCAGCCGTTCATGTGCGCCGCGTAGCTGTCCATGCGCTGGTTCACACCTCCACCCAGCCCGGCGCCAACGCCGACCCCACTGCCCATGCCGTTACCTCCCGGAGCCAGCAGCCCACCTGGTAAGGTGTACTTGTCCTTCTTCATCAGGGTCTTGGTTTTCCGCCGGGGCCGGTATTTGTAATCCGGGTGCTCCTTCATGTGCAGGGCCCTCAGCCTTTTGGCTTCGTCGATGAAAGGTCTCTTCTCGCTCTCTGACAGAAGTTTCCACTCTGCTCCAAGCCTCTTGCTAATCTCCGAGTTGTGCATTTTGGGGTTCTCCTGGGCCATCTTCCTCCGCTGGCCTCTGGACCACACCATGAAGGCGTTCATGGGTCTCTTGACCCGCTCCGCACTGTTTTTCTGGTTGTTGCCAGTGCCGGTGGTGTTGGTGTTGCCCGTGCCCCCCGTGTTGGTCTGGGGAGCAGGGGGCTTCAGTTCAGTCTCCATCATGTTATACATCGGGAACAGCTTTTTTGGGGGCTGGTGCTCCCGATCGAAAGGCAAAAATTAAAAATATGAATAAAAAACTCCACCAGAGACAAAGTCCAGAAGACAGGAGCGGGACAGACGGGGGTGAAGGACCTGCTGCTGCTGCTGCTGCTGCTGCTGCTAAAAGTCACCTGTCGATTTCTCTCTGCAACTTTCTCTGTACAAAAACAACAAGCACGGAGGAGCGGCGGCTCCACACACTCTCTCCCTCTCGCTGAGTGTGTGTGTATGCGTGTCAGTGTGAATGTGTGTGTGTTTGTGTGTGTGTGTGTGGGTGAGTGGGGGACACAGAGAATCTTCTCCCAGTCCAGGTCCCTGCTCTGTTGTGTCCACAAAACTTCAGCCGTCGCTTCTCCGCAAAAAGCATTAACACACTGCACTTTTGCGCCTCTGTCCGCCTGAGCCTTGACAACTCCAGATACTTTTTGAACAAGTTAATAGACAACCACAGAGCGAGCATGTGACGCGGCTGGCCAATCGGCGCGGCGCTGCTCCCCTGACACGCCAATGGGTGCGCACAATTAGCATAAAGGGGCGGAGTCTCCCCGCCCCAGCACACACATGCACAAACAGCCCACGAGCTGCCAATATGAGCCAACGCAGAGTACACATTTACTATTTCTAGACATATGGAGATATTTCTCCTGGAATGTTTACTCTATTTGGACTTTTATATTTATTAGTTATTATTAAACAAAACGAGGATGGAGCTGCTGAAGTTGGCAAAGTCTCATCAAATGTTAAATAATATTAGACTATATCTACACTGTTGTAGAAATAAAATGTGGCCTCTGTCAACAAGCAGTGTAGATAGAAAAAGAAAATATAGAAATGGGCTTCAACATTATATAAGTAATGGCTTCTATAGTTTTTTTTCAACTTCCTACTTTGCTCAAGTCATATTACATATGCTACGCAACATGAACCTGGTACTTAAATGGCAACACTGTGCAGAGTGTTACAGAGGGAGGAGCTGCAGAAGTAGGTCAGAAAACATAAAACAAACATGTATGTACACACACACACAGAGAGTCAGCTAAAGGAAACAGTGCTGTCTGAATGGACAGACTTAAAAACTACACAGGTGACCAATACTGAAGTATTTGTAATGATATTTGGATACTAAGAGCTGACTGTCCTGATCAGCAGTGTCGTTCTTTTGCTTTTGTAGGATTATTTTGATCCCTTTGATTTCTCATCAAACTACAGGGTTAACTATTAAAACAAATCACTAATATTAAATGATTCAAAATGACAGATTAAAAACCAGTTAATGACACACTTTCATAAGATGTCATAGAAGAAGAAGAAGAAAAAAAAATCCAGTCTACGTTTGTCCAAGTTCCTCAGACTTCCTCCCGGCTGACACAGCTAGTTGAGCTAGTATTCCTGTTTGTTACCAGCGGCTGGTTCCTTTTCTTTGATATTATATTTTGAGTAAATTTGTAAATTAAATAAAAGAGACATTTGACACTTCTAATTCTAGGATTATCCAGGTATTAGGAGCAGCAAGCTTTCTTCAAGGTGCAGAGAGCAGCGTTCATTTAAAACACACACAAAAAGGCTCTAATTCCACCACTTCCACAACCAATAACAAAACAACACTTAAATAAACTCTGGTTCAGTTCAGCCACAGCATTGAATGGCCGTGTGGGTGAATGGGGGACAGAAGCCACCGCTGGTTTTTACCATTGAAAAGGGGAAAGGTAATCCAAGATGACCCCCCCCACCCCACCTCCCCACACACACACATACACACACACACCTCCTCTCCGCAGTTCCTTTTGTTTAGTGAAGTTGAATGCCAACACACAGAAGGCAGACGGGCTCATCCCAGCACAAATAAGTGGGTTTTGTTTAGGATGTTGTCGCTACATCTGTCCCGACAAAGACCAACTTCACTCCACTTCCACTGCCACAGTGTTGCTGCTGCTGCTGTCGCTCATGCTTTGGAGTAAGAGGGTGAGGTTTTTAGTATGGGGGGGGGGCAAACACGGGACAAGAAGGTGAGGAATATTTGAAACATCAAGTGTTTGGGGCCAAAGATCATGACGTAAAGAGTGACGGTCGAGTCAGTGGACACACACACGTTGGTTAATTTGTTCAATGGTTATTTGGTTGATAAAGTGCAGCAAAGTGTAAAAGTGTCCTGGAGAAACTGAACAGGTCTAATATGATTAATTATATTAATATCAATGCAGTGATTATTAAAAAAAATCTATTAAGTGGTTGATGTGACACAAATGATTAAACTGATGGAGGCCGACATTCGTGTCACATCTCTTTTTTTCCTGGGGAAACATGTCAAACTAATCCAGATTAATAATCTGGAAACTGCTCCTTTAAAGACTCTGAGGAGGAAAAACTTTTCTGTTTTTACTCTCAGAGTGTAACTGTGCTGCTGCCACTTGTTTTTCCTCCAAATTCCCATCTGAGGGCAGATCACCCTGCTGTGTGACGCCAGCGTCGCCTACTGGAGTTAAGTAAAACTACAATATAATCCAAAAAAAAAAAAAAAAAAAAGAAAAATCCTGGACAGACGTTTTTCTCCAAGTGCCGAGAAAAGGGAGAAGATGAAGGCTGTCTATTAAAGTCCAACAACAACAAAAAGTTTAATCCCACAATAATAATAATACGTTTATATAGAATAAAACTGCGGCTCATTTAATCCGGGTGTCTGGATGTGACCGAGCAGACAATCTGAACAATTAGAGCCGGATCAAGCACATACACCTGAAATAATTTAATTTAAATGCCTGTCTGCAGATTAAATCCTAATTGAGGGTGAATGGATCGAGACTTATTATTTTTGTTTTAGTCATTTGATAATAAATGGAGGTGCGTGGCCCCTGTGCTCTCATTATGCGAGGCCCCTGCAACCTTACATAAGATTCATCTTGTGCGTAATGGGCTGCGAGCGGCGACACATGCAGCTCGGTCCATTATAATGCAGGGTTGAAATGGGCCGCTCGGCTGTTATCTGCATCTGAGTGTGTTCCCCGCTACCTCTAATCTGCTTATGATAATAAAGGAACAGCGGGGCCCTGCAGATCTGTGAAAGCAGGGCCCCATCCAGCCGGGAATGGCCCTGCATCCACAATCATCCTGAATTAAAACCGTTGCTTGACAAAAACCAGGGGGAAACTGGCGGGGC